TTGGATTATAGTCCAACTGCACTATAAAAATCATGCAAATGTACATAGAAGAAGTCTTGATTTGACCTCCCATACCTCTTACTCTTTTGAAACAAACAGACTTTACATTCTCTGCAGTCGCTTAAGGTAGTTTTTACCGTATGCAGACAGTACAACTCGACATAACTTTTGTGTCAGGCATACCCTAGCCGTCACAAACCTTGCTCAGCGATCACTCAACATCCTCCATACAAAGCAATATTATTGAGAAAATGAAACTGTTTCAGCAGCTACCTGATGAGACTAAACGCAGGTTTCCTTCCATGCAATTCTTTTCTTCATTCAGCGTTTTCACTTTGTCCGCGAGTGTCCTGATCTGTTCTCGGGATTTCTCATTTTCAACTGATGCTTTCCTAATGTTTTGTTCCAGTTCGTCGATTGTCTTGTTCCTGTCTTCGATGGTCTTTTGCATGGACATCATTTCCTTCCACACCTATCGATCAAAAAGGAAAAGCATGGAAAAGCAAACAAACAAACAAATTAAATAGAATTACGTGCGGCGTATATCTGCTACCAAGAAGCCGACTAAGTCAACAACAAGTTAATGAAAAAAACAGTACATTAATTAAGTCTCTCTAAGGCAAAAGGAAAAACTGAGCAGTATCTCTGCCACGTTCACGGAGTAGTTCAAGCTGAAAGTCAGCCAATTCTTCAGCAGTAATTCAAAATGTGCTGGGACTTAGCCAAGTTGCCAAGTGAGCAAAAACAATCGATCTCCAGTAAGGGAACCTACAGCGAACCAAACTAGAGGATTTTTAACAGCCAGAATCTGTGTACATAAAAAAAATTCGAAAGGATCTGAAGAAGACCGATCGATCAGAAAAAAGCCGTACCTTGTCCAATTCTTGGAACTTTTGTTGATCTAGAGTCTTTATATTTCTTCTCAGCTCGTCGATTTCTTTCACCCTCTCTTCAATTTCCTCGTTTCTTTTTTTCAGTCTTGTGTTTGCCTCATTTGTTTCCTGTTCCAACTTCGATTCGGCTTCCTAAAACGAAAAAAAATAATACAGCAACATTTACCTTAAATACTGATGAACCAGGTCTGACGATCAGAGACATACGAACGTATTTTGTTCGCGGGAAAGAATGAGGCCTGAGCAACGCGAGTCGGGGAGGGGTCGGCAAGGGTTGTAGCAATGACATTAGGAACTTTAAGCAGTCAGGACGGCAACGCCACGGAAGACGTCGATTAAAAAATGAGTTTCTACTTTTAGTTAGAATTTCTAAAATGGCTGCATGTGTTTACCGTCTCATAGGGCGCCAGACCTCAAACTCAACATAACGCATAAAAGTAGCGTTGAGTTCCAAATGTAAATTAA